CATGATTTATTAAATAAATAACCATCACTGCAAATACTTTCTTTTATTATATTATATAAAATCTTTCACTGAATTGAAGCATCAGTTTCCATCATGTCCTATTTGTTTGGTTGCGCCGGGAAATTGCTCGACAATTTACTGCAAGATCCCCGTCGTCATATTATTCTAACCATTTGTCCAGACTGAAAATCTACCATGAGCTCTACTCTGTGCATTGATTTCATGTCTGTGCATCACGGAGGACGGGCAGCTGATGTTCCTTACTCTTTTATGCTTTAAAGAGTTTTATCCGATATATTTCAACTTTATAATCAAATGAAGCAGTTTTACAATCAAAACTTTGTTAATAACGTTTTGATCCATTGATCTGCTGCCGTCTTGATTTTTGCACACTGTGCCATCGACAGCTCTAGACAATACAAACACCAGCGAGCACCGTCTGCACCACATCAATGCCAAAGAGCAGCACTTTTTTTTTTTTTTTCCCCCATCAGCCTGTGACTCTGCCATCCATGTGTAATCTTTCCTAATCCCTAATCTGCCTCTGGTCCACTGACTGGCTAACTTTAATCCAACTCCAATAAATTGAATGTGAGTTGTGTAGTCTGGTGTAATCCACTCAGTCTGCTGACAGCCACAGTGACAACACAATTAAAGGACAGTCGCTGCAGAACTGTCAGACAACCATCTGCCTCCGTCTCCTACACATACTGCACACAGCCTATTCCTCCTTCTAATGCTTCCTATTGAATTGCAATGAACCATGTGTTTCCCTCCAGATGGAAGCCTAGCGGAGGAGTGCATTCATCTCATATTTCTCTCATTTCATTACAAGCATATAAAATAAAAATACACGAGCTCATACCTCTCGTAAACATGGAATTGGTTTCCCAAAGCAGATATGAACGGTAATGTCCATTGAAAGGGAAGCTAACAAAGCATCAGATATTCACAGATATGAGGCGCAGTGGGACTCTTTCATCACCCAATTTTCGGAGCGTTTGGTTTAGTGCCTTGCTCGAGCGTAACACGTCATTGCTCACACAGGTTTTCGAGGTGTTCTTGGATCACGCATGATAATTTATTCATAAAAAGGAGAATTCTATTTTACTGCCTTAAAATTGACACGTAAACTCTCACTGTCTGATTCATCAGGCGGAACAACACCTGCTGCCACACGAGACGCCCGCTTTACACCAGCCTGGAAATCAAGAGCTTTCATTATGACAAGCACGACGCTGATCTTGTTGATGAAGTGTGCACAGTGACTGAAGGGAACGAGCAGCTTTTGCAGTGACATCTCCGAATGCAAAGGCAAGAACAAAACCGAGCTTTCCACTGTGGAAGTGTTCCGTCAGTCACTGCAGGGATGGCGCGCGAGTGAAACTTCACACAGCGACACATTTGTTGGACAAATTAAGTGACAATTTGATCATCTGGTGTCTTTAATATCAAACGCAGATTTTCTGGTATATTCCAAAGTGCAGGTACGTCTGTGGCAGTTTTCAGTAAGAAGGGAAGAAACTAAACATCATGACACAATGATGATTCCTATTCGGAGGAGGCAGCTGTGACAGTACAGCTGTGGCACTGAAAAGAAAAAGCTCATGTTGACGACTGTGACAGATCTGGTGCAACATACCTGCCTGATTGGTCGTCACGTTCAGTGACACATACTGCTTCGCGTGCTCTTTGGCCAGCTCCGACACCCCGTTGACGGCCTCCAGCAGGAAGCTGTAGTTGGTGTGCGACTGCAGGTCGGCCACCATCACCGAGGTGTTGGACAGGCCGACGCGACGCGGCAGGAACCGCACGTTGGGGCCGCATTCCTCCATGCCTCTTCCGTCTGGCAGGACCTGTTGGCACAGGATGTTGTAGCGCACGTCCTTCCTGCCGCCCGTCTCCATGGGAACAGACCACTCCAGGAAGACGCTGGTCTCGTTGACGTTGGAGATGGCGTTGCGTGGAGCAGAGGGAGGGCCTGAGACGCAGAAAGACAAACACGTGGTGGTATCATACAACAGCATCTCGGTGAATCTGATGACCATTGATAAAAAGGTATTATATCCTTACGAGTGCAGGCCATGTTGGGAGGGTCAGAGTCGATTTTGTAGTATCCTTCCTCGCAGCTGCAAGCGGTGGCTCCCGTCTGCCTGGCCACGCTGTGCGGTGGACATTTACTGCAGGCCACCGACTCCAGCAGCGAGCGGTAAAACCCCATCTTGCACACTGAAAGAGAAGGGGAGGAGGGCGCAGAGGCCGTGGGGAGCACGGAGTTGGATAAAGAAGAGATGAGATGATGAGAGGAGACGTACAAACAGGAAGGAGAAGGGGGTCATGGGGATAGAGGTGAAATGGAAAAGAGGGGGAGAGAAAAAGCAGGACAACATGGTAAGTTAAAAAAAGGAGGTCAGCAGAACAGCGGGAGAAAAATGTTCCTGTGTGGTTGTTTTTAAGTTCCACATCAGAGACACGACTTAAAAAGAAATTAAAAGCAGCATTTGTCTCTTTCTTTTTGTTTCACATTTGAATTTCTTATATTCCTCTAGGGATTATTCCCTTTTTTTTTTTTTTTTTAACCAGCACAACCCTCCTCTCTCCGTCATTTCTCTTTATCTTAGCCGAGTAAAGAAAAACCTGTCCGTCCTATTCAAAGTCAAGTCTTCAGTTCACTGATCTGAGACCAGCACCTGATTAAGAGTTTGCAATCGGCAACTGCTGCAGAATGTTGTCCCCGCCGAGCCCCTGTGTACATGTGCGACATATACAAACAAATACAACAAGCAAAGACACAGACATAATCTCTGCTCCCACACGTACGCACTCAGACGGCTAATCTAAGTGGGGCAGGTAGACATGAGGGTGACTCACTCCGCATGTTAACACACAGGAATACATCAACATCCTCTTGTCGCCATGGCTGCGCCCCCAAGCCAACCAGTCACTCGCTTATCACGGCATCTTTTTCCTCCTGAATGTGCCGTGGCACTGGAGACAGATACAACCAGTCACACACAATGGGAGATGAAATACTAATGGGATATTGGACGCTTTGATAAGCGGGGTTCCATAGATTACTGTGTCTGAAGATATTGTCTTATAATGACACATTTTGGTTTGGTGTTTTTCTGAGTAGAGGACAGGAGAGGAATAATGGACAAGAGGAGAACAGAGGAGAGAGAAGAATGGGACAAAGGAGAGGAGATGTGCTACGTCTGAGTTTGTCCTCAAAAGGCTTTGAGGTTTGACGCTGTTGTGTTCGTCCAATTGTTTATGGTGAAGCCCAATCAGACGGAGACTTTGATTAAGAACCACATAATTAAACTTCAGGTAAGAGGACAGGAGGGATAAAGAACAAGAAAAGGAGGAAATACGAGACGGTGCAGACGATAAGAAGAGGGAACGGTGGGGAGAAGAGAAAAGGACGAAGAAAGCAAAGTTTACGAGGGGGGATGGGGAGATACGATGAAACAAAGGAGGAGTGGAAGATTTGTGTGTGTGTGTGTGTGTTTCAGGCGTTAGGCGGCGGTGGCTCTGATTCACCTTGACGGAACCTTGGCCCGTTGTCATGGAACATTAGGCCTGAAAAATTTCTCCTTCTGCCCGGGATCGCTCCGAGTCTCACCTCCTCCTTACACCCACACAGACTAACAGACACACACACAAACACACACACACACACCCAGGAGGAAGCCTTTCATAGCTGGGTTTGTCATAGGATGCCACACGTACACCAGAGAACCCTAATTATGAGCCAGGACTCAAGACGCTGCTTTTGAGACGTTTGTTGACCTGGCCTAGTTTTGACCGAGCAGACATGATGACATGAGTCATGCTCTGCGGAGCACAGACGCTAATGTTTGCCTTCAGGGATCATTTGATTCAGACGTGAAAAGATTGTATAATTATTTATTTATTTACTTTTTAATGTAGAGGGAAAGAAGGGGGGGGGGGGTTGTATCTATTGTAGTGACGGTCGCTTGCTAACGTGGGTTTCAGCATCCAGGGCAGTGGGACACACCTGATCCTGACCCACACACACTCAGGGTTACACACAGATTTATTATCGTAGTCTGGTGTCTCGTCTCCTTGACTTCATCCTCCAAACACCCCACGGCCAAATCCATAAAAATGTGGTGGCAGCTCATTTCAAATACACAGACAAAGGCACACACACACACACACACACACACACACACACACACACACACACACACAAGTATTGTGGAGTAG